GTGTGTGTGTGTGTGTGATTGAGTGAGTGAGTTTGGAGGAATGGGAGAGTGAAAGGAAGACGGAGAGGGAGATAGAGAGAGGGAGAGAGAGCGAGCGAGAAAGATAGAGAGAGAAGGTGAGTGTGTCTATGTCTATTTCCGCGTGTGTATCATGTACGTATCATCTCCGCTAGGCGCCTAACCACTACACCAAACATACCTATTGAGAAAAAAAGAGAAAACGTAGTATCCTAATTAAAACGTACGACATAGTATGACCTATAAGAAACTACAGTATGTTTGTGTATTATATTTACCCTCTAAGTGGTTGATTGCCTCAGATGCTGCAAATGAGAGGTTGGCTCTGGTGTGGTTTGTTTTTTATTTCCCTTCAAACATTTATCGTCCTCATCTCTTCTCTTTTCTTTTGTTTGTTACCTTTTGTAATACCTCTAATCTCCGCACTTATATGACCTTAATTTGTTGCAAGAGCGGCGAAATTCTTACAAAAACGAAAGAAACTGCTTCAAAATAAATGAGAAAACAAGCAATCAATTAATTAATACTAGAGACAAATCTCAGCGTACTTAACTCATATTATTGAACTAAAATATGTACATTTTATGCGTGCGTTTTATACTTATTGTTTCTTTTTGTCTCTTTCTTTTCAGCTGGAAAGACATCCGAGTTTGCCAGCAACGGCTACGCCAACGGCTCCTCCACGCAGACGCAGAACAGCGCTTCCGGTGGCGCTGCCGGAAGTGGACGCACAAACTTTACCAACAAACAACTCACGGAGCTGGAGAAGGAATTCCATTTCAACAAGTATCTCACACGGGCACGCAGGATTGAAATCGCCGCCGCTTTGGGCCTGAACGAAACCCAGGTGAAAATCTGGTTCCAAAACCGAAGGATGAAGCAGAAGAAGCGGATGCGGGAAATTCAGTTCGAGAAGGTCAACGGGGATTCCTGTCAGCACGGTGCCGGTCTCGAAGGGTTGACAGTTCCAAACCTAGCGCTATGCCACGACACTAGATGACTATAAGACCTCTCGAGTCCGCACTCAAGAAATGTCATATTAATATTATTATTACTCTTATTGTTATTTCCATTTCAGAATCTTAGAACAACATACAAATCCTCAACTGACACTGAATCCTGTCTTTGAGTTGTAGATATGAACGCCAAGAGACCTTGCCGGTTTACCATTTTGTGACCACTTCTTTGATTCGGGAGATTGTTTACAGAATATCGTCTATCATGTCGTCGTCATGAGAGGGCGCGAAAAAGCCAAAGTCAGCTTTCTGTTTGCCATATTTATGACTGCTCATTTGTGCGTCCATCGGATATGACGTCATCGGGGTCCTGCAGTGGACGATAATAATACTTTGCTTTGCTTGCTCATGCCCATTGCTCACCGGTGTTTGTGGTGTGACGGTTAGGCTTCGAGCCTTACACGCAAAAGACGTGAATTCGATCCCCACGTTGTGGAGGTATTTTAGCGAAGTACCCACGTCTTTCTGCTTGGACATTGTGCTCAGCACCGCTCCGGTTGGGCCTGACATGCAGGGTGGAAGCGCCCCACCCCTTTGATGACCTAAATTATGTTTCTGTGGATGCAAACATACCTACATGGAATTCCTTAACTAGGATGACTTAAGGCTAACAGGACTACAGAGCTATGATTCTCGTTGTCTGCTTCGGTATGATATAGGTCGCCAAAGCGAGTGTTGATTTTTTGGACAAAAATTTGAACTCTTCTATCAACTGTTGGATACAATTTCAGGTTTTGATGTCAACAATAATACCTTGCCTGGGACAAAGAGAAACACACGGCCACGATGCCTTTCATTGACTGTGAGGAAATTCAAGACAAATAGACAGACTGATAGACGAACAGACAAACTAACAGACAGACACACCATATAGACAGAAAGACAGACTGAAACAACAGAAGAGTAGCGAAGAGCATGACATACGAGAGGTAGCCAGCGAACAATCCCATGCAGGTTCAAAGGAGAGGGGAACTGTTACGGTTACGGTTTCTGCAATCAAGGATTCTGGGGTGAAGTCTACGAGTTCGAAACCAGTAAATCTTCATGCGGCCTGGTTGGACAATGAAACACTTTCTTTAATCATGAACTGTTGGATACACGTTCCCGATTGTTTGTTTACAACTTTGTACAAGTTCGTCAATTAAAAGCGGAACTGTTTCTTCGGTCATAATTAATGATCCACGTTTACGGTAAAGTCTGCCGTCGTGTGCAGTGTAAGTGGTATACATAGCAACAATACTACCTTCATGGACAAGAACCTAAGTGTGTCCCTACCCGTGAAATTGTGTCATTGTGTTTTTGTTCATTCGTATGAAGCAGTAAGACAACGTGTATCTGTGTCTCAAATATTATTATGACGGAGTATGTGCCCTCCATCGGAAAGTTTTGGTATGCGAAATGTCAAGCTGCAAAATGTAGTCTGCGTCGAGCCTTCAAAGAAATCGCACCAGCTGTAGACCCATTCCTCCTTTTTTACTTAAAGAATGAATGGGATACGTGACGTATTTGTTTAAAACTTGCACTGTGAAAGCACGATGGAATTTCAGACATATCTCTAGATCACACGATCTTGTCATTTAAAAGTTTAGATATAACATTATTTAGGACTTGGGTTCTTTTATTTTCAGAGAGAGTACAAATTAGAGAAATTCGCCTATAGTCTTTTTAAACCAGAGCGCTAATAGTTACGGCTATTGTCTACGAGGGAGGGGGTGGGGATGTTAGCTTTCAAAAAGAAACGTTTGCATGTACCCATAATTAAGAGTCTTTTATTGTAAGTGGAAAGATGGATGAGAGGCATTGCTCTTGTAACAAATAATGTATTGTGTGAGTCGACTAGGACCTGCAATAGTTTATTGCAAAAGTGGTTTTAGACTGGGGACATTAATCTCGAGTCTGGTCTTGTGAAATTTTAAAGAAAAAAGAGAGCCATTTACTTTTGACATAATATAATTGTAAAAGTGCTAAAGAGAGCAGGGAGTGTTAGCTTTGACTTTGGTTTCTCAGAGTCCGAAAGAGAGTATGGACAAGTCTTTGACTTTTGATAAGAGTGTGAACTATCTTTGACATTGAGTTGTGAGATTGCAAAAGAGTGTGTGGACATTAATTATCTTTGATTTTTGAATATGGAATGCTAAAGAGAGTAAAGTTGTGTATATTCGACGTTGGGTTGTCAAGAGTGTAAAAGAAGGTGTGGACAATCGTGTTGTCATTGGTTTGTGAGAGTGTAAAAGTTTAATGACGTATTTTATGTACGCCTTTCTGTAGAAGTGCTAAGAGAATGTGAATATAATAATGATGGTGTCAATGTTATTCTTGTGCACATGAAATCGGAGTCTGAATCCTCTCTTCACCAAGTCCCTTCGGAAGCCTGTCACAATACGTAGACGGAGTTGTGGCATTTGAATTTTCCACAGTGTTCTTGCTGTTTCGTCGTAATGGATGTGTATTGTGTTCAGTACTTGCCTTGTCGAACGCTTCTAGGAGTTCAAGTTCAAATCTTCTTCCCAGGGAGGGATACTTTCTTGAAGAAAAGGCCACGACCTTAAACGATGCTCCTGGATTCATCAGAAACATTGATCTTTTCTCTGTATCTCATTGAAAACTGTGTGTTTTGTCAAGTGGTTAAGACACTCGATTCGCAATCTCAAAGCTCTGAATTCAATCCTGGATTTAATGCCGCAATTATTTTTTTAATTTTGTTGGGGGGGGGGGGGGGAGGGAGGGGGTTCAATGATAATCTATGTTTTCATTTTTGTTTTCATTTTTGTATAGAACTGAGGTATGGGTTACAATTTAAATTTTCTGCAACTTGCTCATTCTCAGTTCTACTCCGACGGCTGTTAGAACGTTGGTGCCAAATCTGGTGTTAAATGTCTGTGCAGAAGGGACGCTAAACCTAACGGAACAAGCTGACTTCCCCAGCTGTGGTTCTGGGTGTGTTTTACGCTGCTTGTACTATTGGGGCATCTTTACAGGGAAGCCACAAACTCTTTATCCACATATCAACATATGTCTTTGAAATATGAGATACAAGTGTGTTTGGAGCTCGTGAAAACCCAAAGCAAGAAAGTTCTAGAATGCCTCATTTGGAGTTTAACCCAAGACTGTCTGCATCTTTCTCCAGTACGTACAGTACTTAATGAGAAAATAGGGCATGAACACTTTGAAATGAATTCAAAATACGAATTTAAAAGAGAAAAAAAAACAGAAAAAAAGTTTTATTTATCATAGTAGAAAGGTTTATTTCAAAATGGCATGCAGAGCTGTCAAACACGTAACATTTTAAAAAATCATAACAACTATAACAGAAGTAATTTTATTCCTTGTCGCTACTTTTAAACACCAATTTTTACATTATTTTTATCATATTATTTATTTTTTCTAAAGAAATCTTAGCTAGGGTTATCGTGTCTTTTTATAAGGGCACACCCCAATAACCACCCACTATAAGCCGTGTCACCGTCATTGAAGGCCATTATGTATGCACCAGAGCAGCTCACCAGTCACTCGACTCTGAGATCAACTACGAACAAGAGACAGTTTTCAGAAATGAACCGAAGGACTTAATTTAGCAGCCGAAAAGTTTGAGCTGGGACTTTTCAAGATATTATTTTTGGGCCAGACCGTTTTCCGTCTGAGCCCAATTGCATTTATTGTTCTAAAACTAGGAGAACGAATTAGAGGCTGAAAACGTCAATGAGGGAGAGAGAGAGAGAGAGAGAGAGAGAGAGAGAGAGAGAGAGAGAGAGAGAGAGAGAGAGAGAGAGAGAGAGAGAGAGAGAGAGAGAGAGAGAGAGAGAGAGAGAGAGGGAAGGAGACAGAGAGAGAGAGAGAGAGAGCGCGAGACAAACAGAGGGAGGCAGAGGGAGAGAGACAGAAAGAAAGAGAGAAATATTGTAAAGGCGGGTGGTTTAAATAAAAATCTATCGGACTTCATCAAAACTGTGTGGGGTCCGAATGATGGAGTGGCCTATGATGATGCTGACAGTTTCTCTCGGTTTCCACGAGGCCTCAGAGAGGCAGAGCAGGGGTGGGGCGAGGGTGGGAGTGGGGTGGAACGAGTGTGGGACGGGTGTGGGTGGGTTGGGGCGGGTTAAGGCTGGTTAAGGCTGGTCTCTCAACACAAGGCCGAGCTGTGAGAGAGGCCCTACAGTCGGAAGCCCCCGTCTGTAATGAAAGGATATAGCACATTGACGTGGAGGGCCCTCCAAACGCTCTCCTTAACTGATGACGTGTCTTCCTGCGCATGCGTGCACGTGCGATGGCGTCGTGTGCAGTTTGTGCGGTCGCCAGGGGGCGTCAGCTGTAGGTGACGTAGCATAAGAAACGACTTGAGAACAATCAAAACTTATTAGTCATATACAAACAGAATTTTGAGACAAATTTAATCTTTTGGGAGTCTGGCTGCTTTAATTTGATTAGTGCTACAGAGGACAGAGAATCACCGTAGTACAAACTATTTACTATTATTATACAATGGGGTTCAATGATAATCTATGTTTTCATTTTTGTTTTCATTTTTGTATAGAACTGAGGTATGGGTTACAATTTAAATTTTCTGCAACTTGCTCATTCTCAGTTCTACTCCGACGGCTGTTAGAACGTTGGTGCCAAATCTGGTGTTAAATGTCTGTGCAGAAGGGACGCTAAACCTAACGGAACAAGCTGACTTCCCCAGCTGTGGTTCTGGGTGTGTTTTACGCTGCTTGTACTATTGGGGCATCTTTACAGGGAAGCCACAAACTCTTTATCCACATATCAACATATGTCTTTGAAATATGAGATACAAGTGTGTTTGGAGCTCGTGAAAACCCAAAGCAAGAAAGTTCTAGAATGCCTCATTTGGAGTTTAACCCAAGACTGTCTGCATCTTTCTCCAGTACGTACAGTACTTAATGAGAAAATAGGGCATGAACACTTTGAAATGAATTCAAAATACGAATTTAAAAGAGAAAAAAAAACAGAAAAAAAGTTTTATTTA